GGAGTTAGAGGGCTTTGGTCCAACTGCTTGTTAGGCCACTATCTGGTATTTACCTGCTTTAATGTCATTTATAAATTGGTCAAGTACAAGCAACACACTGTTTACTGGACAGTTCTAGTCTATAGAACTCTATCACACTAGTCGTGAAATTTTGTTCATTTTTCAGGTTTATTGAAAAATTTGGTACTCATGTCATTGTTGGTATAAAGATGGGAGGAAAGGATGTAATATATATGAAACAGCAGCACTCCTCCTCCCTTCTCCCTGCGGACGTGCAAAAGCGTTTGAAGGCAATGGCAGATAAGAGGTTTTCAGGTGCAAATGAACAAGGCGGAATAGGATCTGAGCAGGCACATCAGAACGGGAAGGTTAAGGATCTCGCCTGACCCTCCTATTTCCACAATCACAACAAACACTAACACACACACATGAAATATACTCTTATATGGAGCTTTCAAAAACCGTATGCTGATCACATTTTTCTTACTTCTTTTATCAAAATGACAGCTCTTTTCTTACTTTGGCAACACTACTCAGAAATACCCTAGAATTTTAGTTGTACGTGTTAAAGCACTTATACATCTGACCATCTAAACAACACTAGTTGGTGCCTTCTATCTAATACGTTCAACTTGCATTAGAAGTTCTTAACATTCTCCAGCTTTGAGGTGCTATTTACAGTAGAAGCAAGGATGATCACTGATTACCTTTGAGCATATTACTTAATACAAGCATTTCATGGCGGGTCAGCTCCTTTGGATTCAAAAACAAGATAATCTGAAGTTTACGTGTTTATGTTAATCTTATTTCTTTATGACTCAAAAATGTTTTTGACACAAATATTTTAAGTGCAATTGGCTTCTTCATAAAAAAAGAAAATTAATTCAAGTGCAGTTGGCTTTCAGTTATTTAGGGATTTACATATCATCATTGTTGCTTGAACGGTCAAAATTGTCAACCTTTCCTTTTCTTGGCTGTTTTGGAAAGTCCTTTCAATCTCCTTGGATTTTTTTTTTGAAATGCTATATATAAATCTCTGCAAATGGTTGGATGAGAAAAGCTTAGTAAGATCTTCTATGACCGTATAGGCAGATATAATTAATATCTGCAGATGGATTTACTTTATAGGTGCATTTGTCAGACAGTTGGATGTTAGTTGAAATCCATATTGTCAGGTTCAAAATCAGGGTTTTTTTTCATAACCCTTAGATTATTGGAAATTTTTTCACTACATATTGGTGTGTTACTGTTATTATGAATCTATTGCCTAAGTCTCTAATTTTGAAAATGTTGCCTCAGTTTGAGATCAGGGAGCACCGGCTAAGGTTTGCTGATCCCAACATATCAGGTTCATATACACATAAGGAGGTATGTGGTATAGGGTCTCCATCATGTCTGTTAAATTTTCTGCACTTTAGAGTTCTGAAACAAGTTTGTGCAATTTGTCAATTGGCTGCTGAAATGGCAGGATACTGTTAGCATTTGCAAGAGGAGGGGTGGAGGTGATAGCAGAGGCTTGACGCATAATCAGTGGTTACAAAGTGTACATCAGGAGCCTGATGTGATCTCAATGTCCTTCATCCCTATCACCTCACTGTTGAGTGGCATCTCAGGAAGTGGATTTTTGAGTCATGCTATAAATCTGTACTTGCGCTGTAAGTTAGAGGACAATATTTGTTGTTTTCTTGCCTCTAACTTCTATGCAATATAAGTTTTAGACTTCTATGTGCAATGTACATTGCCAAATGTAACATTTCCATTTGATAGTTATTGACAAATGATACAAGGTAGGAGGGCCTGCTGATTTCCTGCTAATTTTGCAGCTTTCTGCTAATTATCCTAAAGAATGATGGCTGATTTAAATGTCTGCATTTTCTCAAAATATTAACATCTCATTTGTTCGTGGAGTATTTTTTAAATCTTGCAAAAAGTTTTTTGAAAACAAAAAAGAAGAGAGTAAATCTTTTTCCACTCATAAAGCTCTTATAAATCTTCAAAAATCTGCAGTTATCTAAAAACCTTTTCTTTATGAACTTCTTTTTTCATTATTTTTCAAAAAGCTTTTTGAATTTTTTTGAGACGGCTCCTAAGAAATTTGATAGTCAATTAACTGCATTTGGATGTTTATTATGATTACCGGGAAATATGCTTTACCCTTATATAAAGTGTTGTCTATTATGCAGATAAACCACCAATTGAAGAGCTTCACCAGTTTTTGGAATTTCAGCTGCCAAGGCAGTGGGCACCGATCTTCGGTGATCTTCCGCTTGGTCCTCAGAGAAGGCATTCAAATTTTGCATCTTTGCAGTTTAGTTTATTGGGTCCCAGGCTTTATGTGAACACCACTCCGGTGAGCTCTCTTAATTTTAACACCTCAGTTTGAGATTATATCCTCTTTGTACTCCTTACACAGCAACACCAACTTAAAATAATCCTGTCATCTTCCTGAAGTTATATGCGATTAACATTGCATACCACACTGCATACCAAGGGGAAAAGCTACTTTTTATTTGGGGCGTTGGTGTTTCATATATTATTTGACACCGCCTTTTTCCCTGTTCTTCGACTAACTCAGTGTAATGTGATCTCACAGTTAAGGGTTTTGCTCTCGACCCTCAGTATATCATCTTTGTCTCCCCATCTCACCTTAGTAGCCATCATAAGTATTCCACAGGAACTCTTCAAGCTCGCCATTGTTCAAATTGTGGTGTGTATGCTCCCTCAAAGTTATCTATCAGATCATGCATCCTTCTTAAAGTGTATCCTATTTCCCATTATCAACAATATAGTCGACAGATTTAGTAAACTTTTCCTTGCCTCTCATAATTCTTTTTTAGCAAATTCACCCCATGAGAGTTTGTCACCTCACCCGTGACAATCTATTATGAAATTCCTTACTGAATGGCTATTATCTTTTTCCATAAATTATTCTCCTCTAGAACAAATCTTATTATTTCCCTAGTAGCACCATGTTAAATGAGGACAATCCAAATCCTAACCCCAAATGAACCAGGGGTTCTTGTACTTCTCCAATCTTCCAAATGAAATTTCTTCTCCCCTTTCTTTCCTTCCCATAAAAAATCTCTTATCATTATCTCTGATTTATTTGTAACAGTTCAAGGCATATAAATCAGGAGACATTTATTGGTGGGTATGTTAGAGAGGTCAACGTCAACTATGACATTTTTTTTTTCGGTAGGATTTGGTTGTATTTCTTCATATATTTAATACACATGATCCCTAGTAATAATATCTTCTCGAAGTGATGTGAGACTATAACATTAGTTCTTCATTTAAATAACAACGCATGCCCCAGTGAACTATTATGGGTGAGGAGCAGCTTGGAGTGTACAGCTAACTGTTCTGTCTTTCAGAAAGGCTGTTTCTATTAAGTTCCAATTAAGATTTTAGTAAGTTAAGTTCACTGCAACAACAGTTGGCTTCATTAGTTTCTTTTGGTCTTGTACCGAATGCTTGGGATCAGGAAAGGAAGGAAGGGAAAACACTGTTGAAAAGTCTGCTTACTACCTTCTTTCTAGGCATCCATGTGATTCATATTTTTCATTGCAGGTTGATGTTGGCAAGAGGCCAGTGACTGGACTTCGTTTGTATCTTGAAGGTAAAAGGAGTAACCGCTTAGCTGTGCATTTGCAGCATCTCTCATCTCTTCCTAAAGTCTTCCAGCTTGAAGATGATCCAAATGGAAATTTTCAACGAGAATCATATGATCGCAAATACTATGAAAAAGTTCAATGGAAGAACTTTTCTCATGTCTGCACTGCTCCTGTTGAATCTTATGAGGATCTTAACATTGTTACTGGAGCACAATTGGAAGTTGGGGACTGCGGGTTTAAAAAGGTCCTCTTTCTGAGACTCCGTTTCTCGACTGTCATGGGAGCTACTATGGTAAAGCACCCGGAGTGGGATGGTTCCCCTGGGTTGGCCCGCAAATCTGGACTGATATCAACTCTCATTAGCCAGCACTTTACATCAGTTCAGAAGCCACCTCCACAGCCAGCTGATGTGAACATAAATTCCGCCATTTACCCTGGTGGTCCTCCCGTTCCTGTGCAAGCCCCTAAGCTCTTGAAATTTGTCGATACTACTGAGATGACTCGAGGACCACAAGAACCTCCCGGTTATTGGGTTGTTTCCGGTGCAAGGCTTATGGTTGAGAAAGGAAGGATCTGTCTGAGGGTCAAATATTCCTTGCTTACTGTAATACAACCCGACGATGAAATACCAGAGTAAATGAGAATAGGTTCTCTTTTATGCTTAGACAGAAAATGAAACTCTAGAGGGAGAAGTGGCAGCATAGTTTGTTGCTGACTTTGTCGATGTTGAACCACCTGTTGTATAAAACCTGGTGAAAGTGCCTAAAAAGGGGATAGGCAACTGATTCTGTACTTTGAGATGTCTGTAATGTTTGTTCTCTCTTTTGTTTCAAGCTAAATGTAAATCTTGACAATGTTGGTTGTAATATAATTTTAACTTATTTTCTCTCAAATGTATGCGTCATTGCTGACTTCGGTGCTAAACCAATCAGGAAAATCAACTATTATTTGGTTGAGATCAACTCTAACAAGAATCCTGAGTGGGTAGATGAGAACCTGAGTATGACTTGCAAAAATTTGAAGCCACAGGTACAATGTATTTCGATTTTCCTTTTTTGTTTGGTCATCTATGGAAGTTATTCTTGTTCTCACATTGCAGTTTTCATAAGGTGAAGGTTTGATATCCATTTCAGACTCATGCACAAAACATTAGCCATAATCTTAGAATTAAGCTGATAGAAGTAGAATGAAGTGCACAAGCTCAATTGGTAAAATATTACATAGTAAAAGAAGCTTACTCCAAATGAACAAAAGCTGAAAACTTAGCCTACTGAATTTTAGGTGATATATTCGCAAGTCGAAGCACAGTGCTTCTTCTGGAGTGTGCACCCTTCTCAAGTGGTATATCAAATAATCCCACTTCTCACATATTGGAAGAGATAAAACTAAAAAGGGGAACTCAGTCAATAGACGAAAAGACAGTATGTTACACAAAAACAATCCAACGTCAACCCAAATTTTCCTTCTTCCTAATGTGCAAAACTTCAGTTTTCGTCTGACAGCTAATTTACATGTCAGAGTAGGGTAACAGAGTTGTTGTTGTTGTTGTTGTTGTAGTAGGGTAACAGAGTGCTAGCTTATGGGATTGGTGACATTTTTTAAGATTACATAAATATTCTTTCCAGGATTTAAACATATGATAAAATTAACTATTCTTTTAGAAACATTAAGAGAAGGGGAAACTATGTCCATGGGAAGGCCAATAAACCCCTTCCCTTGGACAAGGCAGTGGAGTTGGCTTGGCAATGAAGGTAGGATACTGTTGTCCTGGCATCAAAACTGTGTAATCTGACGGATATGGTGTTTCTACCTGTGCAAACAAAAAATAATAATTAATCATATTGGTACTTTGATCTTCAAAACTAGATTTTGCTTCTGCCTTTTCTTAGATGGTTGCAGAAAATTTATTTGAATTGAGTATTAGCTCATTCTAGACCTATAAAGCATGTGGAGGGAAAGATGTTTGAACCAAAAGATGCTCTAGAGAAAGAAGTAAAAGGGATTAATAGGCATGATATACCGGGAAACAACAGAAAAAAGCACTAGTATAAAATTGGTGTTTACTCTAGATGAATTACTTCTAGCAGGCTTTCAAGTATTGGAGAAGTGAATAGTTTTTATGTAACTTCTCAACATCACTTTCAGGGACAAATTGTTTAAATGCATTTGGGGAACTTACTGTTTGTGAACTTGCACGTTTCTGAATCGAGCCCAACTCCAAGGAACTGTTTCTACTATCTTGAGCCGAAGAGAAGGGGGGGCTAGGCTTGAAGAGATGTTCAAAGATGGCCATGATGAGAAACATAGATATGAGGATAGCTGTAGCAACAAAACCAAAAGAAATGGCATCCATCGATGTGCCAAAGTTCTTCCATTGTCCTTGTCTGTTAACTTGTGTTTGGGAAGGACTCGGTTCTGAACTTGACTGAATGTTCCATGGCTTTGATCTTTCTGAACCAAATTGTTCACTCATACTCATATCAACTTCTGATCAATCTCTATAAAAATTGAGCCGAAGAGTGCTAGCAGCTCATAAGTGATGCAGTAATCTAAATGGAATAGTTGGTTTAACTATAAATGCCTGTCAAACAAAAGAAAAAGGCAAAGAGGCTGATACCAATACACCTAAAAATCACTAAAATTTCAATAAATATTAAGTTTTGAACCTATAATTGCTCAAGTGCAATGGGTTTAATGGTGAGAACATAAAAGTTGAATCTGTTAAGTTAAATCATGAATCCGTCCTCTGCTTGAATGGCAGAATATATAAGGATCTATCTTAGATATTATCCTCTGTGTCTCTAAGGCAAAGAGGATTAACTAATGCCAGCATATAATGACATTTTGTTTGTACATTTCAAAGAGAAGACTCCTTATTTCATCATGAGAATTTAGAACTTCCTACTCTGTGTGATAAAGCTCAAGAAAAAACAACTTCATGGTAGCAAATGTTGGTTTTTTGCTTTGAAGTCAAGAGAGGTTTATTTCATTTCTGAAAATATCATGATCATGTCTTCTTGTTTTCATTATTTTATTATGCAAATGATGATCTCCAGAGAAGTAGTTTAGTAGAAAGCAGAAACTATTAACACCATTCCCTTTATTGACACACATAATCTTACTTCAACATCAAGTTGTTTTATTTTCCACATTTGGCTGTACTTATGCTGTTATGGATCAGTTTTTAATATCAATTTCCCATTTTTGTAACACCATCAGAATAATATATCACACAACAAGATTCTCATTTATCACATAAGAAATGCAGGAAAGAGATAATGATAAGACACTTTGAAGAATAGTAGGAAAACCACACAAGAATCTAAAATTTTGGGGTTCAAGAATTGGGTAGTTTCAGATTATTACCTTGAAAGGGGACTCAATAGGGATCTTAATCTTGGTCTGTGATGTTATCTATTTGGAACCAAGAATAGTGATGAACAACCATATGTTTGTAAGAGAAATTCACAAGGAATGGGGTTTAATCCTAAGAGGAAGACAAAATCATATTCTATATGTTTCATGTGATGGAAGAAACAGATAAACACATGACTCCAATTTAGCTGAAGAACACAGCTCAAACTAGGTAGCTTTATAACTAAGAAAGAAATATAAAGACAAAATTATATGATAATCTTAGTTAGTAGACTTTTGTTTGTACATAACTTATATACACATTGATAATGCAATGAATTTGTGCAATATCAGTGTACTTTAACCGGTTATAGCAGGTTGTTGTTGTATACTTTATGTTACCAAATCAAAATTATTTTAGACAGCTAGCTACCTATTGTTGTATGTAATCTTAACCTGACGGTGTAAAAAAATTGTATATTGCCGGTGCACAAAATTTAAACTTTTTTTTATTTTGTTGCCTTTCCTTTTATTTTACTTTTCTTTTTCTTGTTCTTCGCTGTTCATAATCTTGATGCCAAACTTAATCAGTGCTATACCTTTGTTTGGACATATAGGGAAGCAAACTTAAAGAAATAAAAAAGTGTTTGCCCTCCTGTCTGCAGACCCTAAAGCAAAGGGTGACCCCTCTTGATGCTTGCAAAAGCATTCACTCTCAAGATACCATTATTGATGGCTTCCTATTATCTAAATTCAACCCTATTTTCCACTTTTTAATTGCTAATTATATTCGGATTCAAACCATATATACTTGCTGTGTAAAGAACTTTTGTATTATCAATGCAGTTTTATCTTACATCAAGTTGCCTGCTTTATTTTTCAAGTAATTAGTTCCACTTAGGGGTGTTCATAAAAATCCGAAAACCAAACCAAATCGACCAAAAAAATCGATACTTTTTGGTTTGGTTTAGTTTGGTTTTGAATTTTAAAAAATCGATCAAATTTGGTTTGGTTTTGGTTTTAATCAGAAAAAAACCCAAAAAAACCGACTATTGGAGTAGCTATTTCAAATTTATTATTACACCTATATATGTGTATATTTTTATACAAAGTTTCAAAAATTTAATGGTAAATGTTAATAATTTGCACTTTTAGTATAGTTCTCTACTTTTACATTCTAGTTTGATTGGTAGTTTTCTTTTGTTAAGTGTAAGAATCCATTTCGTATTAAAAATAATATATTTTTAATTGAGTCCTTAATTATTCATCACTATTTGATTCAATTATCATCAATATATCTTGGTAAATAATAGATTTCTCAAAAACAATTGATTTGATATTGTTACGTTGAAAATATGGTCTCCGGATAAGTATTTGTTAGTGTATGTCTTGTATTTAAGAAAAGACAAATAACCGAAAAACCGACAAAACCCGACATAAACCGAGTCGAGAAAAAACCGACTTAATTGGTTTGGTTTGGTTCTAATATTTGAAAATCGACTTATTTGATTTGGTTTCTTTTTAGGAAAAAATCAATCCAAACTGAACCATGAACACCCCTATACTTCCACTTATCAAAAAAGTTACTTAAATTTATCTTTTGATGACCTGATAGCGTAAAAAAGTTAAAATTATTATTTATTTTTTGCCCCAATCACTGGTCGTTTAAGTTCGAAGTTGAGACATTACCCTTTTATCAAGACCTAATACAGGTCGATACGAGGTGAAATAATATAAGATCTTTATTTATTTAAAAAAACTAAAATATTCAGAAAAGAAAAGAATTCATGCTTTATAAAAGGTATAAAACTATGATTTTCTTTATCAAGAAGATATCTTATAGTCAGAGATTTTCTTATAAAGTTTCTATAAAAGTGGATGCACAAAAACAACATAAGGTTTTATCACTCAAAGGTGGCAAAACATACGAAAATAAAAATGATCTCCAACTAGATAGGCAGGATAAGGAAAAGCTGACAAATAAAAAACAAAATAAACAAAGGCTGCAGCAGGTGAAGTTTTTGATAATCTTACAGCTAATGCTATAGCAGTAGAGCCATGATTCAAGAGAAGAAAGAAAACTAAAGAAAAGCTAGAAAAAGGAAGTGATTGAGACAATTTCCTGCATATATTCCTCAATTTACCTACTAAAATCTTTGTCTCATAAACCCCACAAACTTTTTGTCAGAAGCACTACTAGTAGCTCAAATAAATTCTTGAATTATTTGAGGTAAATTCCACTTTTATATTTAAGCTATCCACCCACCCCACCTCAATTTTTCCTATGAGAATGGCCTAAATTCTCATAATTTTCTTTAAGAAGAAATGCAAAAAATTACTAAATGTAAAGAGTTTCATTTTCGATTTAATTAATATTATAAAGTTTATTGGGCTGGTTAATTTGGTTTCACGTCAAAAAGATGATGGTAGGAAGAGAGATCAAGGAACCATTTGCTTCTTCTTTTTCCCGTCCTTTTCATTGAGTGACGATTTTCAAGATAAAGATTTTTGTCTATCAAAAGCTACGAGAGCAATTACAAACCTTTTCACCTATGTATGATGTCCTAAAAACAGAGTCTACTATTCAAATAATATCTCTAACTATTTAAATTTACTTACTAAAATCATATTTCTTTTGTTTGTAAAAGAAAAGTCAATTAACTATTTCTATATCACTCAAATGAACCAGATTTCTCAAACTTTCGACCAAATACCTATTTTACCCTTTAAATTATTAATTTTTATTTTTAATATTATAATTCTTTCTCTATTTATTCTATTTTATGAACTTATCTATAGAATAAATAATTGAGAATTACATTTATTTTAAATAATTATTAATTTTTATGTTACATGCATTAAATATATCCGTTAAAAGCTTGTATTCTCTTTAATTCTCACTTTTATAAATAGTTTTTAGAATTTTTCTGTTATTCTCAAATTATTGATATGAATAAATTATTCTAATTAATTTTTTACTGTAATCAATTTTAGGTGCTTAAACTATTATTTTATAACGCAAAAATAATTTTTAATATAATATTTATGTGATTTAAAAAGGTTACTTATTGAAACAAGGTACATGTGTAACATGTATACATTAAGACTAGTTAGATAATAGTTAAATAAAAGGGGAATTGCGTTAGTTTCAATAGCATTTGACATATTGAGCCAAACTCGTCATAAAATCAGCAGCCCAATTATAGGTAAGTCTATAACATAGAGTAAAAAGAGGAAAAATATAATATTAAAAATTTAATAGAAAGATAAAAGTCGATAATTTAGAGAGCAAAATAGGTATTTGTCCACCGAAAGTTTGAGAAATCTAGTTGAGTGATCTTCTAAGTGCTATTGACTTTTTCGTTACAAGTAAAAGGAATGTGATTTAACTAGATAATTTCGAATAGTGGAGTAACCATAATAATTGACTCCCTAAAAACACCCACATCCCACCAGGGGCGGATTTAGGGGGGCGCAAGGGTGTTCATCCGAACACCCTTCGCCGAAAAATTACACTGTATATATAAGGTAAAATCTATTTTTTATCTCTATATATTAAGTTTTGAATACCCTTAACACAATCCAAAAGTGTAGTTTAGTGGTCAAGGGGGTTCAAAACCTACTGCATCCCACCCCAAGCCAATACGCAAGAAAAAGGAAGAGAAAAATAAGCATAAATTTCCGTAAAGTAAAATAAATCATCCCATTTATTCCTTTTCTTTTTAATAGATAATATTAATCTCTTACCTATTATTTGAATTTGTTTCCCTTTTCCATTTTTGTCTTGAAAATAAAATGGCTCTGCTTTATTTATTGGGGTCACCTCAAGGAAAGAGCACAAATTTTTAGTACAAGACATATATATATATTATTTCTAAAACAGGAGATCCTTATGGCCTATGAATCATGACAAGAAAGAAGAATAAAGCAAATGTTGAAAATTGTTTCCTCTTTGAGTCGCGCTCTACTTTTTTCTTTTTTTTGTTTCTTTTGTTTTCTTTCTTTTTCAACTTAAGTCTCTTCAATAGAAACAAAGTTATCACTTCCTTGTTCCAAATCTTATAAAGTAGTACATTTTATAAGGTTTATTATTCATTTTTGCTCCTCTATTTCATTGTCGCTTTTAGTAAGAAAAAGATGGAAAAAGATGGCTACTTAGACAGAATTTGTAAGTTTAGCTTTTATTTATTTAAGGATATGGTCTAGTGATCGATTTAAGTGGAAAAGTTTTGAGAGATTAAGAATCAAATTACAGTAAAAATAAAAAACACTAAGCAACTTCTTTTCATTTACTTAAACTATGGTGGATGGAGCCATCGAAAACTTATTAGCGGAATGTAGACGCCACTATTATAAAATAAAATATAAAATAAATTGTAAACCAAGAGGACGTTGTTATTAGAAGAGAAATTTCATAATATTGGAGGAAAATTACACAGTATAATCGCTCTCAAAAATAATATCCAGCAAAGTGTATATTTTTTATATATTAATCTATAATATATATATTTTATATTATATAGTTTTTATATGTTTGGGTTGTGGATGTAATTAGTTTGGCTATTGGCTTCTTTGCCACATTGTAGATTTCCTTTGGTAGCTTTTTAGGGCATAAACCCCCCACTCTCATTACATTCCTTTTTTCTGCTGTTCTTTATATTCACATTCTTGCTTCCCATGTGAAATGATGCCTTTTGTCCCTATGTTAAGTACGTTAAACATAAGACTGTAGTTTCTTCGTCAAGTACGCAAATTATCTGTTCTTTTTATTTTAAAAAAATCGATTTTTAATCTGGAAGAAGGATAATCCTATTCCCAAAAGATCTCATACTCCCTCCGGTTCACAATAAGTGACCAATTTATTTTAGGCACACCAATTAAGAAAATACTAAATTTTAGACGAAAATAGCAGCCGGCTCTAATTTTCGTACATGTACAATCCATACAAGATTTTGACCCTATGACCGGTTGACCCATCTTTCAAAAAATGAGCCACAGGTTTATATATAACTTGTACAAAATTTTCCCTTTCCAAATGTCGACTTTCGCAAAGCAATTTAGTCGATGGTAGAGGCTGCCAATTAAACTCATTAAATTTGGAGTTTTCATGTATGATCCTATTTTCTATGTACAAAAACTAAATTCTTCTACAGGTAGGCGCGAACATCATATATAATGGTATATGAATTAACTAACTAAACCCTTTAATATGTATACATCATCATACCATAATATACCAAACATCATCCAATATGTTGCACCATTTAAATGGTATTATCTATTATTTGCAATATGTAAAATTTAAGCAATCCTTCGTATTCTTAACTAGATTAGATACGAAGGCGAATAAAAGTAAAAACCATTTAAAAAGAGCATCTCTGCACGATTCCAAGCTTTCAAGTAAGGAGGAGCCAATGGGTTTAACGTCGAAATAAATCTAATGATCAGAGTTGGAAACAAATCTTCACCTAAAACAGGAGTTCAATTCAATCAACATTTTCTAACACTCGGCTTTAGGATTGTTATTGGTTCCAAAAAGTGGAGAAAAGAGACGACAATCACTTTGGTGAACATGATTTTAGAGAAAGGAAAAAGCAAATTTTTCACACCTTGAACCAGTGACATCAATGTACTCTAATCGGGCGAGAAAGCCATTGGATCTTCAACTCTTTTAGACCTCCCGGAATCTTTACCATAAAGTATAGGACAGCAGACCAGCAAGATATTGAATCAGGAAAGGCAAGCTTTCAAAAAGGTTTATTAAAAATAACAAGCTTTAAATGTAATCCACCAACAAAATTGCCATAGTATGATCAAATAAACACAAAATCAAGTAGCACAAAATCCCATAAATGAAGTTTAAATCTGACAAGAACTGACTATATGGGTCTGACAGTTTCTCAAGCTTTAAGACGTCCATAGAATTTAGCCTTCTCCTGTGTAGTCTGGAAGCGCCCATGGCCAAACTTGGAGGATGTGTCAATGAACTTGAGCTTGATCTCCTCCAACGCAACCCTAGATGTCTGATTCAACAGAGACTGCCTCAAAGTCACAACACGCTTCTTTGGTCCAACACAGCACCCCTTAATCAACAGAAAGTCTTCTTTCACAATACCATAATGAGGGAATCCACCCATTGGCGTGATATCCTTCTCAGTCCTGACAAGATGAAAAATAATTTTAGATTAAGAATAGTGATATCCAAGTAACAGAAACATGAAGACACCTTATGCAGAGCATTATAAGGACTAACCTGTCAAACTCAGTTATGGCGGAATGAGACTCCTGACCAGCCTTGCCCAGCCTGTAGACTTTCTTGTTCAGCTCAGTGCGATGGTGATAGCCATTCTGCCCAGCCCTAGCTACAGTGTATGACACCCGTGCCGGATGCCAAGCACCAATACAAGCCACCTTTCTAAGACCACGATGGGTCTTACGTGGGAGACGGGTTACACCCCAACGAGTCACCACGCCCTCATAACCCTTACCTTTGGTCACACCAATAATATCGATCATCTCATCCTTTTGGAAAATAGCATCAACAGGAATCTGCTTTTCAAAGAAGCCATAAGCATAATCAACCTTCTGGGAAACATCCCCACCATTAACCTGAATCTCCATCAGGTGTGCCTTCTTTTGCTTGAGCCCTTTCATTTTTCTAATCTGCAAAAAAACAAGTATAAACATTTAAGAGGGGCTTGAACTACTCTTAGGGTGGGGCGGTCTGAGTGCATCAAAGGAGAACAAGGTGAGAAAAGAGCTTCCAAAGAGAGGTACGGCATAGCAAGAGTTGTATTGGCAAATACCTGAGTATGGGCCAAAACACGAACAACACAACAATACTTCTTCATCTTCTCCAATTGTGCATTAATATCCTTCTTACCGTCATCAGTTTCATACTTCTTTGAGTACTTTGCAAAGGCCTTCTTTTTGGACAAGCACCAGTTCTTGTAGAATCTCCTTTTAATCTCTTCACTAAGATGTTGAGCCCAGACCGTGCTAAGGCAGCGAAGGCCACGTGGTGTTTTCACATAGCCAACAACCCCAACAACAATCATAGGAGGCGTTTCAATTATGGTAACAGCTTCGCATGTTTCTTTCTTATGGAGTTCTGCACAAATAAAACTTGTGAGTTACAAGTTTGGGTATTAATTTAACAAAAGCCTACTTGGAAAGACAAGCTTTGCAAGATGTGAACTGTTTATCGCCTACAGTTTTTTCAATAAACCTTAATACAAAAGCTCTCCCATGCAGTAAAGCCTTATATTAGAACAAATGTAATTCCTTATCAGGACATACTCTATAACCTTAAGTTTTGTTGGGTGAGAAAACCTTCAATTTGTATAAACCTAGTTCCTTGACTGCATATTCAGATTCTCAACACTAATTCTAGTATTGCATTGGCATAATGTAGCAGAAAACTTGAAATTCTAAAAAACTTACTTGACCCTGGTTTTTCAACATCTCTGACTATATGAGTCATCCCAGCTTTGTAGCCAAGGAAGGCTGTCAGCCTGCAAGGTTTTGTTGGATCATCTTTGGGAAAAGCCTTCACTGCATAAACAAAGAGGAGAGAATACAATATAAGAATTTATGATGACATCATATCTAGACTGACTTAGAAGTCGTTTGATAAAATATCATTGCACAACACATTATCTTAACCAACTACTGCAAGCTCATGTTAGCGAAATGCACAACGACTAGGGAAACACTGAGGTGCAGACGGTCAACTATTAGTTAAATGGGTGAAGCACAAATAAGATGCCTAACCACAAAGAATTTCAGAAGCAGAGAGCAAGATGGGGCATAAATACTGAGGTAGCTCATTTTCAGAAATCTGCCCATTATGTGGCACGTAAATTGACACATCAGTAGCAGTCCGCCACCATAGACTCACAAACATAAAATTCTAAAAATTCTGGACCCCAGGTACAAATGTATCAGTACACTTTAAAAAACTCAAGAACCTTGAGGCAAACTTCATGTAGGATGCCAGACTATACTGTAGTTTTACTCCAAGTAAATTAAGTTTGTTATCAGCACAAGAATGCAAATTTAACAAGGTAAAGAAAACAATTAAACCTTTCCCCCTGTGTCGTGCTGCTCTTTTCCTTGGAAGAAATCCCAAAGAACCATGTCTTGGGTGCTCAAACTTGCGATGGGACATTCTTCTTAACTGTAATAGCTGGAAAAAGAAAAGGCTAAGTGCCTCAACCTTAAAGGAGAATATCATAAGCCAATCACCTAAAGAGTACTGCCTTTTAGCTTAGTGTGAGAAAAACATTATTTCAAGTAAGACAGAAAATTAGTTTTTACTTTTTCACAACATACAACTGGAATCTCCAGACAAAATAATGTCCTTGTAGCAGTTTGATAAATGTCAATAACCTACTGCACAAACTGTGCTTACATTAGAAATATAATAATACACACACATCTACTTGATTCTTTAGATTGATCACTGTGAGAAGACAAGTTGATATATATAATAATGATACTAAAAAGAGGGTTGAGGAGAGATTGCGAAGAGTGAAAATATATATAACTTTAGTTCTCAAATGTGGTAAAGAACTAAAACCTACAAAAGTTTCAAAGAAATAGTAAATTTGGAAAATTATATCAAAATAACAGAAAAATATCAAAAAACAATAAGAAGAAACTGCAATACAGGAAAAAACTAGACCTAAATTTCAAATAATATCGAAAATACGCTTATTAAGTAATAGCGAGAAAAAGGATGTCAAAATTTTGCGGGGGCTTGCTGCTTGTTCAGAGGAACGAGGAACGATCCAACGAAAAACATTAAAAGTTTAGTCAGTAAAGATAAACCGGGTGAGGGAAAAGAGGAGCTCCACAAAGGAGACAACTAAAGTATCAAAGACAGCATACTCTAGACAAATAAGACATGTGAATCTACCACAAACTCTAGGAGATGAATCGAAATGCTCCCTGACCAAAGGCCTATGGCACAAAGAATGTGCCAATTCTCAGGGCTCAAATGTATTTCTTTCCAAATACCCCAATATAATGAGGTATTGGTGAAAGAGCCCTTTTGAGACTCCAGCCTTGATTATTTGCTCCAATTGTTATAGGGAGTACATTTCTATCACCTCCAACTGAATTTTGGGAAAATCCAACATGCCTAATTGTACTAAAAGCACGCAAAAAAAAACCACAGAAAATAAACATTAAAACATTCTAATGTGACGAATTCACGTAAAACTAAAATATTTCAAACAAATTAAAACCCAGCTTTATGCTTAACATTTAACAGAAGTACTTAAAAATGCGTGTACAGTAAAATTGAACATAAAGGGATCAGATCTAGTGAAATATAAACAAATCTCAGCCATGCACCAACTAATTGCTAAGAAATTGTACAAATATTGCTAACACATTCGTAATTAATCACTGTATGCGATAGCTGGTAACAAAAATAAATCTACGAATCAGAAAAAAACAAAGAAGATCAATATATCAATGGTTAATAATTCGAAGAAAATGAAACACAACTGACAAAAAATACAAAAATAGATGAATCAATAGATCGAAAAATTGAACGATGTTACCTCGTAGATGCTATGCAGTGTGCGGCTTCAATACAAAAGGTTGCTCTAACTCTGTGAAACCTTATATAGTAAGGGACGGATAGAATTAGGGCTTCGCTACTCACTGTCTTTTGACGTTTTTACCCTCATTAGCCGCATTTGTGTGCCGCAAAATGTAGTGAAGTGAGTCGCACACTTGCACTTGTTGGGTTTGAAAATAGCCTGTTTGAACCACGGAAGTCTTCAAAATTACAATCTAGTCTCTTTTTAAATACAGATTTTCAAAAACACCAAAGCATCTTGATAATGATGCTTTTTGTTGGATGAATAATATCTGTTGTAATTTTTACTTACAAAGTATATTTTAGAAAATATTTTTTCCTTGAAAATTTAGAGAAAGAATAAATAATAGCTTGTTAGGGCATATACTATTAACCATGCATTTAGAGATAGTATATTCTAATAATTGTCATGGTTAAAAGTCTAAGTGTCACGACCCCAAATATTTCGGTCGTGATGACGCCTATCACAATACTAGGCAAGCCAACCCAACAAGTAACCACGGTGAGTTCTTTTTATAAAACCTTTTTCTTAAACTGATTAAGTCTCACATTTTTCACAAGAAATATATAAATCACTGAAATGTGAGAAAAAACAATACAAAATATACCAACACGGCTCAACAATCCGGTGTCACAAGTCAAGAGCCTCTAATTACAACCCAATCTGACTGACTATTTCATAATAAGTCTAAAAATGAAGAAAAAATTATGATAGGAAGGAGTAAAGCAGGGTTGTGGACGCCGTGCAGCTACTTTGCGGTCTCCGATAAGCTTTGAAAATGCTGGGGACCCTCACTCTGCCGCTCGGGCACCTGGATTTGCACATATGGTGCAGGGAGTAATGTGAGTACGCCAACTCGGTAAGTAACTAAAGTAAATAAGGTCTGAGTGTAGTGACGGGCAGTTAAAAATCACATATATATGGGTATTCAACGAAATATCAAGTCAAACTCAACAGTTTAAAAGCCATTACTCTGTAAAACTTTAGTTTCAATTGAAATACTTGAAATCATTTACTTAGCAGTTTTCAACATAGGCTCATTATAAAAGAAGTGTGAAACCAACAAAATGTCATAAATGGGTCCCTCGGGCAAGGTACCACTCATAAATATAGCCTCTCAGACAAATCTCTCAGTCACTCGTGGCTCAACTCTCGTCACATCGTACTCACACTCAGCACTCAAGCTCAATAATGTCTCATAATAGTAATAATCACAATAACCGTTGCGGCGTGCAGCCCGATCCATATTTTTAGTCGACTATGCTCACTGGGGGTGTACAGACTCCGAAAGGGCTCCTACAACCCAAGGTAATATCCTCACCATTAGGTCCTCAACCTCCCTCAGCCATTAATCTCATAGTCACCCGGACATATCAGTGAAAATCAGGGAACTCAACCCAAACGGTTTTCACATTTTAAGAAGTAGAGTGATAAAATCAGATTTAAACAATAAATAGGTAAAACATGACTAAGAATAGGCTTCAAAATAAATAGAGTGGGAAAAATAGTAAAAAACCACTAAGGGTCTAAACAGGTCGGCATAAGGTCCCAAACATGGTATACAACCCATAATATAATATTAATCTCTAACATACGAGATATCATAAGATTTCAAATCAAATACGCGGCTTAATAGTCGCTACAGGACGGACCAAGTCACAATCCCTACCGGTGCACGCCCACACGCTCGTCATCTAGCATGTGCATCACCTCATTTATTAAAACAATACGAAATATCGGGGGTTTATACCCTCAGATCCAGATTTACCATGATTACTTACCTCAAACCGGATGAAATACTACTTCGCGACGCCATTGCCTCTCGCTTCGGCCTCAACTCGTGCCAAATCTACCCAAAATCAGAATCATAACATTAGAATATGCTAAGGAAACGAAGCCCATGCAAAAATAACCAAATTAAACTAAAAATCCCGAACTTTACCAAACCCAATCCTCGAGGCCACATCTCGGAATCCGACAAAATTTACATTAGTGAAATCCTTATCTCCCCACGAGTACATTCATACTAAAAGCATCGAAATCGGACCTCAAATAGCCCTTCAAACCCCCATTCAAATCTCTCAATATCAAGCCCTAACCCCTCAATTTTCTTCCTTAATTTTCATTAATACCATGATTAAGAAATGGAAAAATGGCTATAAACACAAGTAATGAAGCTTAGGTAGCTTACCCAACTGATAATCTTCGATTTCCCCTTGAAAATCACTGCCCTAGATCGCTTCCCGTCTTCAAAAATGGAGAACTTAGCAAAAATTCGCGAAGGAAACCTTATATACTTTCTGACCCAGGGATTTCGCACATGCTGTCCCTTTTTTTTCTTCTGCGCTACCGCTTTTACGGTCAAGCTACCGCTTCTGCGATTTTCATTTAAAGGTCCCTTTCCGTATCTGCAATTAAATGCCCACACCTGCGCTATCGCAGGTGCGCTCCAATAGCTACTGTCGCCCCCCCCTTTTTCCTCGCGGATTCCGGGTTTCAACATTCAGTGGGAACAACTCGTTTTCTTTTGGGAATTGGGTATTCGAAGAGTCGCCATCTAACGAATTATGGAGTGTTAAGGCACCTAGAGCGATTAACTCTTGGATTGGTTTGCATTACCAGAGATTTAGGGTAAGGGCTCGAAATAACCTCGAGGGGAAGGCATTAGGAACTCCTCTCGGTCCACAATGGTGGGTCCCGACCGAACTTATACTTGTGAACTAGTCCATTAACAAATAAATAGTTTTAAAACACATAATTACAAATAAGAGTAGGTTGGACATTGTATGACTCAGATAATAGACGAAAGATTTGAACAAGTTGTGTACATGTAAAACAAAGGTTTAAACAAAAGGAATTTAGGGAAAGTAGGGGTCCTACGTTGGTTAGCCTACAGGATCACTCCACACAATGTCCGATAAATACTCCTCAATGAGGGGCTATACGTGACATTAGTGTGTAGTCATTATATCCCATATCTACCCTTCCCACCCCTTAGCGGTTATTAAAGCGAGTGTTGGTTAGCGATCTCTATTGTGTGCTGTTACTCGTCCCTTCTTAATGGTCCTGGAGGAATTTAAGACTTCTACCTATAGGCAGTTCTAGATAGACCGCTAAAGTTTAAAGGAGAAAATACTAAGGCGACAAGCAAGAACACATAGGACTTCAATAGGTAAAAGCATGAAATAGCAGATAAGAGGCTCAGGTTCACCTCCACAGATAATGCATATAAACAACACGACTCAAACACAAATAAGGGTAATATTGTTAAACAATATCCTAACACATGCTGTCTAGGCGAACATCAGAATACAAAAGGCATGCAAATTTATTTTACAACTCAAAAGTAGGGTCCCTAATCAGTTTGCCTACTGATTTTAAGCATATTAATTATTAAGCAGCAAAACACAGAGGAGCAGTTTCCAGTTTTTATACAAGAGTTGATTACCTAAGGCTTGCCTAGGCATGGAGAAATGCACAATCGTTACCAGAACCGTCAGAAGTTCAGAAGTCATTTTTTGCCTCAGAGCATGTTGTTCTAGGTGTTACAAAGATGCAGGGTTATTACTAATTTGTTTAAAGCAGGATGAGATTGTTTATATTCATTTTCATGCATCAGTAGTTTAACTAGGTGTAGTTGAGTGATGATGAACGAGAACTTAAACATGGTATCTAATATGCACACATAAGGTTCGTAATGGTTTATATGCAGAATTCTTAAAGCATGATTTCTAAATGCACAGCAGGTTACAACATCATTTCAAAATGCATTGGTGACAATTTATCTTTAATGTCGTTTATCCTAGAAACAGGATTTCTAAGTGATAATAGAGATGTCCAAATGAGAAGCTGGAAGCAATACATATGAAACCTAGGAGCATGGTATCTAATGCATGATAATGCTTTGCATGTATTGGTCCTAAACATGAATTCTAATGCACATATAGAAAATATAAACCTAAAGCATTTTTTCTACCCATTGATGTTGATAACATATATGAATACCCTCCCCTTTTCACTAGCCAACCCCAATATTTGTTTACAACAAATTATTACAGGCTAATATCGAATGAATTACATAAGTAGATAAGAAAATAAGAAGTTACACTATAGGGAGCCTAAAGTAGGCCCAAATGATTTTCCAAAGCCTCTAATAGCCTCAAATGCCAAATTCCATATACAATCATTGTCTAGGTGCGTCAGAGTTCCCTAAGGATCTCAAGGATCCCGGGCAGTGCTCACACCTAGACTTTATCACTAGAATTGAGTAAGTGCAGTGTGGAAGAGCCAACTCTAATGTACAAGAGTTTAGAGGGATCTCATAGGAATCCCTAAGCAGTCATACATTAGAGGGGCAGAACTTAAAACCTAAGAGTAGATGTGAAAGTGCTTGAAAAGATTTGAGCAGGGAAACAGTTTGAAAAGGGACTTGTTTGAAATAGTTTTTTTGCAGAAGAACAAAGACAGTTTTGAAAAGAGAGTCGGGTAATGAGCAACAATCCAAACACAACATCCAAAACAAGTTCATACACAACCAAAGAACATAGAACTAAGGCTGGTTCAGCAATCATAAACAAGGGGTAAAAGGATTTGGGGATACATAGGTCACATAGTTACAGGAGCATATCAGTTCGGGGTTTATGGGTTTAGAGAATAACTAGTGATACCAACACAGCATGGATTTCAGAAATAATCATAGAATCAAACATTTAAAGTGACAAGTCAGTTTGCGAGGTAAATGCACACCCAGACTGGATAACAAGTAGATAAGCATTCAAACAGGGTAGGGTCACACTGAGGCAGACTACCATGGGAGTAGAACTTATTCTGAAATGCCCTAAGAGGGTTAGACTAGCATGCTATATGAAACAATGATGTAACCATGTCAGTTACATGTTGAACAACAGAACCATAGATAGAAACAAATTAGAAACATGATGAACTGAAGTGGTAAAAGAAACATATTGGTTTTGGGACTTGAATTAAAATTAGAACATATCATTAAAGATATAGCAAACACAAAGTGAAGAATAGGAGAGCACAATAATTAGCCTTGGCTTGCA